TATACTATTAGTTAGTTAGTTAGTTAGTTAGTTAGTTAGTTAGTTAGTTAGTTAGTTAGTTAGTTGGGTTATCGTCATTGCACTCCGGACATGTCATAGGTGCTCAGATCCTCCCCTCAGTATGAACCCCAACGTCCGATGGCTAATAGTACCAGTTCTATGTTGATTAACAAGTCTTCTGACGTGTCCGGTGTGCGTCTCGTTTTTTGCTGTGCCGATCTTAATTCCCAAGTCTGCCATTCTGGCGAGTGATGTGGATTCACTGCCACCAAAGTCCTCTATCCTTCCCATTTCTCGGAGGGTATTGATAATATCAGCATGATCCATAGGCCGACCGTCGGTAGTGATAGCGGATCCAGCCAACCTGTCAGCTCTTTCATTTCCATCGACGCCTGCGTGTCCCGGAACAAAAATAAAGGTGACTCCACGCACAGTGGACTTCTGTAATGATTCAAGCCATTGTCTTCGTACTGAACCTGCCTGAACCCTCCGGATCATACTCATTGAATCACTGAGTATACATATGCGGGTGTATTTTTGTGTTTCAAGCCAGGCAAACGCTTGCGTCACTGCCATCACCTCCATCGTCATGCTGCTGGTTGTCATGGAGAAGGCACCGTTGGCTTCTTTGACTGTTCTGCCCGCTGAGCGTGCTGTAAATGCCCATGCGCTTCTTCTTTGGCGTATAACGGATCCGTCTGTATAGATTAGTGCATCTGCTTCGTCTGAATTTTCACCGATGAGAGCGTTGACCTCTGCATTAACAGCAACAGGATTCTCTTCTCTATATCGCCCGTTGAGTGTGACAATACAGGAAAATGTACAAATAAACGCCTGAGGCACAGGTATCCATTCTGCACCAGGTATGATGTCGGTTAGGCTGCATATTTGCCTAATAACATCTTCTGCCCGACCTAGCCACGATTTTCCCCTCTTCAGTCTGTCGCCCTTTTCACTAAAAAGAGCTTGATGCAGTGGGTGTTTCTTATCAGCACATATTTTGAGGTATGCCCGAGCCCTCCACATCCTGATCCTTTGGTTCATTGTTGGAAAGTCAAGTAGATACCTCATTGCTTCACAGGATGTGTCTCTTGTACATCCCAAAATAATGCGCATGGCTTCATTTTGCACCTTTTCGAGTCTTTCAATCTGGGTAGCACTGACAGTGAGGATGGCCAGAGCGTATTCAATGGGTGAAAGGACCAGACCGTAGAATAGAAGTATTAGTAGTCTTTGCTCGATATTGGAAGCAGCCATAATCCTCATTGCAGATAGACCTTTGCGTGCTTTTGTTATCACATGGTCAACGTGTTCCCTGAATGACAAGCTGCGATCGAACCTCACCCTGAGAAACGTCATAACGTTGGTTCTGATCAATATATTATCACGCATTTTCACGTCTGGTAAGTCCGACTTGACAATGTGATTGTTCAAAGAGAACCATGACACTGATGCCTTCGAAGGATTGACATAGGCATTGGAACCATCACACCAGGCGGCAATTCGATGAAGTTCTTTGTGCATTGTGCTAGCGATCTCCTGTCTATCACGCCCTCGTCGATAAATCAAAATGTCATCAGCAAATGACAAAGTCCTTCCCTTTCCATTCAACTGCTGCTCAGTGATCATCACCGTATAAACGTTGAATAAGACTGGTGATAGCGGTGATCCCTGTGGCAAACCTGGACATATCGTTTGCGGTTCTGAGGACCAGCTACCACATCTTAGTACAATCTTTCTCTGGAACAGGACCGCAGCAATCCAGCGGATCAGAATAGGGTTGACTTCTAGTTTAAGCAGTAATTGCATTAAATATTCGTATGGTACTTTATTGTAGGCATCTTCTAAGTCCAACACTGCCGCACATGTCTCTTCTTTAATCTGAAATCCCTCGTACACATCGTAGGCGAAAACAGCAGCATTGAACCATGTCTCTTTCTTCAACCTGTACCCTCCAAGTGTTGATGGGAACTTATCATGTAGTTCCAAGTAGGTGGTCAATCTTTGTGCGACAATTTTTTCCAAAAGTTTGCCAACAGTATTCTGCATCGAGATGATTCTGTAGCCGCAGATCTTTGAGTGGTCTTTATTAGGCTTTGGTAGTGGGAACAAATAACTATGGAGCCATTCCTCTTGTATCTGGCCACTCTGGATGCTGATATTGAATTCCTTTGCCACGCTTTTTAAATCAGCATTCGACATCATCAGCATGTCATTGTATCGGATGCCGTCAGGGCCTGGAGCAGTGCTGCGCGATTTCTTGAGGCAAGTTCTTAAGGTGTCTGCAGTGATTGTGAAATCAGTGCCTAGCTCAGTGTTCTCGCACAGCATCGACAGTTTCATCTTAACCCCTATTCTTGCAGCTTCGTCTTTTTGGTCAGTTTGCTCCAAGTAGCGCGCAAGAAGGGTTTTTCCTTTATCAGCATCAGTTCTCTGCCATATCAGGTCTGTACCCTGAAAATCAGGGATACCCCTTGGTCGTGCGGCGCCGTGCATGCCCCGTTGAAGGCGCCAGAATGTCACAAGAGATCCCTCGGAGCAAACGCTCTTGCAGAATTCGTTCCATTTCGCTGTCTTGGCTTCTTTGGCAATTATCTTGAAAGCCACTGTTCGCTTGTTAACCTCATCTTTTAGACTGATCAGGCGTTCAGAAAGTGACGGATCAATCTTCCTTGCCTTTTGCCATGCCTTGACAGCGTTCCTTTTTTCTAGCCACGCCATGTTGACTACTTCATTCCACCATGGTGGCTGGGCCCATCTCTCCCGCCGTCTGCGATCTGCTCTTGTTTTACGTCGTCTGATTTTGCTAATGGCATCTTGCCCTGTACGGTCATATAGAAAAGCAGGCACATTGATTACAAGACCTTTGTTGTTGCTCTTCTCCACCAGGACGACGCAAGGAAAGTGATCACTGTCATGGTATCCCAGTGTGCTCCACCTGCATCCTGATGCAATGGAGGGAGACACTAGGGCCAGGTCAATTACGCTGTCAGAATCCCCTTGTCGGGTTGCCATTCGGGTAACCTTTCCGTCGTTCAAGCATACTAGATCGGCAGACACTAGGGCATCCTCCAGGTCTTCCCCCTGTTTATTGGTGATTACATTGCCCCACTGGTTTCCTCTGGCGTTGAAATCTCCGCAGTAAAGGACTTTCTTTTCCTCCGTCTGGAGCAAACTCTGCCATTTCGCTGTATCCACCTTTCCATTGCAGGCGTACACATTGACAATCACAAACTGGGCCGGGCCCAACACTCTGACTGCGTGTACTTGTAGGTCGTCATTATCCCACTCAGACATGTCCACCTCAGACACCGGTATGTTGTCACGAACAAGAATGAGCTATCCGAGGTGCCGTCTATTGTAGAAGGATTGGAAGCCCGCAATTTTAACGATCTCGTCACCGAGTAAAGTATACTATGCTTGTCAACATCTACTAAAGTCAACGTGTCTGTCTGGCAACACCAAGATCAAAATATATAAAACGTTGATAAGACCAGTCGTGTTATATGGCTCTGAAACTTACAGCACAACTAAAAGAGATGAAGCCTTATTACAAGTTTCCGAAAACAGAGTCTTACGACGAATCTTTGGACCTATCAAAGATGCAAACAGTGGTGAATGAAGAGTGAGAAGCAAAATCGAAATTCATAATCTGTTTAAAACACCATTGATCACTGGCATCATGTGAACTATTTAACTTAAATGGTTGGGGCATATTGAAAGAATGTTAGATGACAGAGAAGTAAAAACTGTAGGGAGACGAATGGTCGTAGACCACGAGGCAGACCAACAAGAAATGGAGAGATAATGTCCAGACAGACCTACAAACACTTGGTGTCACCAACTGGAAAGAGAAGGCCAGCCAGAGAGATAAATAGAGTCCGGTGATATCTGCAGCAATGAACCTCAAAGGCTCAGAATGCTAAAGAAGAAGAAGATATGCTTGGTGAGTAAAAAGCAAAATTTCCTTTCTTTCTCAGGATTGTTATCATGAAAATGATACAAAATTATGCTAAAAGAAAATCAAAATGGCAAGCACTGGAATGTGTATTTCAAGGGGGAGGGGGGAATTTCCCCGATAAATTCAGTGGTATTTTGGTATAATTCGTCTTGGTATAGGTTCATTTCGTATGCTTCCTGTTTAAACGCGAAAACGTTTGCTTGGTATATGATTTTTATTTTAAGGAGCCAAAATTAGCCACTACACCAAGCGCTATCTTTATTCACCTTTTTGCCTTGTCTACTACAACTGCTACTACTACTACTACTACTACTACTACTACTACTACTACTACTACTACTACTACTACTACTACTACTACTACTACTACTACTACTACTACTACTACTACTACTACCTCTTCTTCTTTTTCTTCTTCTTTTTCTTCTTCTTCTACTACTACTACTACTACTACTACTACTACTACTACTACTACTACTACTACTACTACTACTACTACTACTACTACTACTACTACTACTACTACTACTACTACTAATCGTTCAGAGGCTGTAAACTCTGGCCGAAAGCTATGGTTGTTCGTCTAATGGTGAACTTTGGAGTAGTTGCATGTAATCTGAAAGCATAAAGATAGCACAGTTATTCTCAGCTAATCCAACGCACATTGATTCGATAGAAAAAAAATACGATTTTATTTAATCCATGCTCAATGAACTAAAAAGGGAAAGTAACAACAAAAATCACGTCACAAAAATATATATGGAACACAGTTTAAATAGAATTTAATGTTAGTTAACGTGCTCATGGATGAAGAAATTGTGCAAGTTTCCTCGTTTTGGAAGATCAAAATATGGCAACCTTATGCTTACCGTATTCGACGGACCTGAGTTCGAATCTCCTATTTTTGAAGATTTTTATAACTTGCCTCAGCTTATGGCATCCATTTAGGACTCAGTCAACTTTAGAGCCCATAAGAGTTTTAAACTATGATGTAGATTTATGACTTTCAGGTCTATTCACAACAAGGCTTAATATTTACCTGCGGGTGTTCCGTTGATAAATGGACCGTACGGCTTATTTTTTCGTAATAAACTGAGTACGGCGATGTATAGCTGCCACATAAAAGAGTCTCCTATGAAATAAATCGTCATACCCTTCATAACCTTGCAGGAATCCTCCTCTCCAGCAAAAATGGTAATCTGGTAATTTAAGGTAATGGAATGGTTCAAACATCGAATGTGACTGAATAGCACTAGAAAAAACGTAACCAAACAATTAAATGTGAAAAAGTAGCTCTAGATAAACGTAAGAAAATAAAACATAATGTGTGAAATATTAGCTTCAGGAACAGAAACATAATAAAACATCACATGTGAAATGTTAGCTTCGGAGAAACTTAACAAGCCATCAGATGTAAAATTATTATCTTCGGGGGAAACAAAATAAAACATCAGATGTTCATTATTAGCTTCAGAGAAACAAACATAATAAAATATCAGATGTGAAATGTTAGCTTCAAACGAAAAATAATAAAACATCAGATGTGAATTATGAGCTTCAGGGGAAACATAATAAAACATCAAAAGGATTTCACACAGATGTATCACTGGGTTTAAGAAGAGAAAGGAGTCTACAGAGTGATGCGGCCAAATTATAAAAAATAGAAATGAGACCATTGGGTAAGTAAAGGCGGCTGCAGGCAGCGCTGTATTTTTTTTTTTTAATTTGAATCGATATCACAGCACTCGGACACTCCCACAAGCGCTCCTCCCCATTTTCAACAGCAAGCGAAGAGTTCCAGTTCCGAAGCTACCAGTAGCTGTCTGGTTGTAAACCTGTCTAGCCTTTCCATAAAGTGTTGAGCGTCGGCCAGATCCATTGGTAACGTATCGCAACGCCATTTTCCTCAGACTGTAATGATCTATTTGTTCCTTCACACTGTTTACTCGCTCCCAAAGGGTCCTCACAACATCTAGCTTATCATACATAAATTCCCCACTAAGTATTGCAGAACTGGACACTCTATCTGTCTGTTCCTTTCCCAACACACCAGCATGACCTAGAGAAAATATCCAAATGATGTTCCTGGACCTCTGAAGTGATGTTATGTGTTCAGATGTTTCTAATCCGAAAGGTAGCAGTGATTGCCTCCACCTCCATCTAAAACTAAACGTTATGATGTCATATGTCAGACTGTGTTGCACTAAGCGACGTCCATTCGATTCTGCTCTTCGTTTGCCTCTAACCACAGCGCCATCTTTTTAGATAATCACATCACCTGGGCGACAATTGTCTTGAGTCATTTGTTGAACTTCTGATTCTGCAGCACCAGCTGGTCAGTCCCTACAGTCACCACCTAAAGGGATTAGAACCCTACACAAGTCTGATTCTTGCTCGGACACTTTGACTCACTCCTCCCCTCGCCCAAATTTAACAAGCATGCACACATGGCTTATTTTGTCTTCAGCTTGCGCCATCCAAGACCTTCTTCTTTTTATTCTGTTACCCTTGGCTCTACGTAGGAGATGCTTCTCGTCTGCAGCTAATCGGAGATATGACTTTTCTTGCAGAACGTTGAGCGTATCTGCAATAGTAAGCAGCGCAAGTATGTATCGCATACATACTACCGGGGTGTTTCTTGTCCATCCCAGAATTACCCGCATGGCATCATTGTGTATGCGTTTAAGTTTCATCAGCTGACTCTTTAATATAGTAGGCATTTCTAGGCCATAATCTATCATCGACAGGATCACATGCTGGAACGTTGTAAACATGATTCTTTGTTCCATGTACATGTGAGGCATGGAACATCAGCTTTTACAGTTATATTGTCCAGAGAACGTCATAAAACAGCAGCCTTTTCTCAGCTGAAATCTCGCCCATTTCTGCACACCAGTCAGTCACTTCGTTCACAGTTGTCTGTAGTTCTTGTGCTGTCTATCACTCCCCTGCCTATATGCAAGAACACCGTCTGCAAATGTGAATATCATTCCAACACAAGGCACTGCAAGTCCAGCAGTCTTGCTTATAAACACTTTGAAGTACACTGGTAAAACTGCAGAACCCCGGGGTAGTCCCGGGACGGTATTACATGCTTCCGAGATCCATGTACCCAGGCAAAGGGCAACCATATGGGAATGCAGGACATCTGCTATCCAATTCACCAGTCAGGGGCACGTTCCATTCTCCACGAGCGCAGATATCAAATATCATACCTGACTCTATTGTAGGCATCCTCAAGATCAAGTGATGCCTGTCTATTCTGGAAGCCCTTATAAACATCAAAAGCAAAATTAGCTGCATTAGACCAAGTATCTTCCTTCGGCCGGTAACTACCTAAACCTTTAGGCAGGAGCTTTTCCTTCTCCAAAAACATTTGTAATGTAACAGCAATAATCTTCTCTAGCACCTTGCTAAAAGTATTTTGTAGGGTGATAATCCTGAAACCGATGAGTCTGAAATGATCTTTGCTTGGTTTTGGAAGTTGGATTATGTAGCTGTGTACCCAATCCTGGGGTACTGAAGCTGTTCTGATGCTCTGGTCAAAGTGATAAGCCATCTCCCTCAAGTTTTCATCACACATGCTCTTCATTTGGGCATACCTGACTCCGTCCGGAGTTTACAAAGTATCTTTTGCTTTTTGCAGTCTATAGTTTATATCCTCCACCCTAATAATTTCCTGAAAATAATTATCATTTATAGTATTGGGCATATTATCTCTAAATGAATTTCTAAGTTTCCTATCATTATGATCAGTTTGGGCTATAAATGTCTCCAAATATTCTTCCCCTTTCTCGTTGACTGTTGTCACTGGCATACCATTATCAGTGTATTTAATACCTGTTTTCATAGGTCGACCCTTCCTTTGCATCTGCCTATGAAGTTTCTAAAACAAGTTCAGTGATTTATCCTTTCCAATTTCGCTTATAAAATTTTCCCATTTACGTTTTTTTATCTGCTGCACACCGCTTGAACTCTTCTACCTTTTCTTTCTAACTCTTTCTAGCTTCTCTACATCCTCTTGTAACATATGAGGTGTCTTACGCACTTTCTGTAATTGTTTAATTGCTGCTTGCTTCGCTCTCCATGTCTGTTCTACTTCTTGTGGCCATCATGGAGGGTTCACAAAGGCATAGGTCGTGGTTATGGTGCATACCTTCTATCAGTTTTTAAAAGGAGTAGAAAATTATAGGGAAGAGAAAAAGTTGGTAAGAAACAAGAAATAGTTTATGTTAGCTTTACAAAATCGATCACAATAAACAAACAAAGGACGTTGCGGCGGTTAGCCTTTATCAGCACATACAGGACAACACAGTACATATACACAAATATGCTCTAACTATGAAGTGACTACATAGGACCCTAATGTATAAAATAAATGATACTCATCTATGTCTCTGGCGAAAAAACTTCGTACAATGAAATTACGGTCAGCCTATATATCTCCAACGCGCGGGTAGGGTCGAAAAAAGGGGCGCATTAGAAATCAACAGCGTACACTGAGTGTCTAAGGAGGGAGGGAGGGGTTGGCCTATAGGGCGTAACCGGGGTTGGGTTGTGGGGATGACAATAGTCCATCCGCATGGATTAAAAGTGGTGCCTATGCTTGCAAACAAATATCAGCAGACAGACAGAGAGGCAGACAGACAGACAGACAGACCGACCGACAGACAGTCAGACAGACAGACAGACAGACAGACAAACAGACAGACAGACAGACAGACAGACAGACAGACAGACAGACAGACAGACAGACAGACAGACAGACAGACAGACAGACAGACAGACAGACAGACAGACAGACAGACAGACAGACAGACAGACAGACAGGTAGGTAGGTAGGTAGGTAGGTAGGTAGGTAGGTAGGTAGGTAGGTAGGTAGGTAGGTAGGTAGGTAGGTAGGTAGATAGGTAGGTAGGTAGGTAGGTAGGTAGGTAGGTAGGTAGGTAGGTAGGTAGGTAGGTAGTAGGCGTCCAAGAAGGGTGCTGGATCTCTCATACTTAAGGGCTGGATTAAGCCTGGAGAGGGCCCTATACTTTATATAATGCCATAAAGCCCATCCCTCATTAAATTACATCAGGTGATCTCAGAAACTATATCTGCCATTTAAATAGATGGGCAATCGAAATATACTGTACTTTAATTAAAAGCAAAAATAATGAAAGTGTTTGCAAAATCACAGAAATTATATTACGTAATCATTTTAAAGGCTTTAAGTTACAACTTGAAACATTCCCGCCTTGATTTCCCAAAATATAAAAATCACTGATTATTATTTTTTTTTTTTTTTTTTTTGAATTAGAAAATTTCAGGTGGGCGAGGGTGGGGACTGGTTAATATATTTTAATGCATTTAAAATATACTAGAGAAAATTGCATTTGTGATTTTCTAGCCCCTGCAAATTGTGATGCCCTATTCTGTAGTTTTTAAAACTTATTTCTAAATTCGCCACTGGCTGGAAGGATGTTGACCATATCACCTACTGTCTTTACTGCCAAGAGTAAAAACTTCTGAGGGTGATGCAAGTTTCGTTAGTTTAGCACTGTTCACTTTTTTGTTCTCTGATGACTCTATAATTATACAGCTGCAGACATGTTGGTTAATAATTATGTTTCTGTGATAAACATTTTTTAAAGCTCGCTTGCATGTAAACACAAAGCATCCTTTTTGCTTACATATGGTCGCATTGCAATGCCCAATCGGATTGCTTGAAATGTTGTTAACTAGTTTTAGAATGATGGCAGTCATTGCGGCCTTCATGGGGCTTGAGAACCAGTTCCATACATTTGTCCTAATTGTGACCGACTCACAGAGCAGGATGAGAAGCGTGGAAACAGTTATGGTCCATGCAGAGTTGTGAGCATCTCTTCAGAGATCCCGTGTAGTTATGCATCTTTTGGATATTTTCACCGCAGGTTATGCCGCTGTGTTTGGAAGCGAGCCGGCAAATAAATTGGCTTATGTACCACTTGGTGATGATTTGATGTGTGATAAGCTAGAAGTTGTGATTATTCTTTGAAAACGAGTGAACAGTGTGGCTGCACAAATCGATCATCACAGTATGTGGGAAATGGTACTGCGAGGAGTGACGAGAAAATCTAAAAGACACTGAACATTTAAGGGAAATGCAAGACAGATATGAGTAAAAGTGAAAAAAAAGTGAAAATCCTTTTACACGCCCTTAGGTGCATCGGGCATA